GCATGCTCAGCAATCCTCCTGTCCCACTAAAGATTGAAACAACCACAGACAAAAGACCAAATCTACCCAAGGATTTCAAACTACAGGAAAGATGCAACATTTTTCCCAAGTGGTTCATAAAAGAGCAAGAGAATAATCAGATTCTAAGGGTGGGCAGAATGAGCAAAGGAAAAGAAATATCAATGGAATTAGGACCATAAGGTACTTAAATATGTAAAACAACAGGAATAAGCTCACTGGCTAGTCTGCTGTAGACAGAAGTAATAAATTGTTTCTATTGAAGAAACAGAGATTTGTGAAAATAAATCATAAAATAAAGTGCGGGGAGAAGATGTCTAACATCACACCAGGGAGACAACTATTAGGAATAGAAGTCCTTTCCTTCAGTGCAACTAAGGAAAGGTTGGGAAAAGGGCCTCTGGAAAGGGCTCACTACTGCCTATCTCCTCCAAATCATGATCCTTCATCTATGGAATTGATTTAAATAGGAAAACAGGTGCACCATGATAAGATGAGGAGTTCTCAATCCTCACCCCATGAATACTGAACAGTGTAGGTCCTGCACTGCCCTACATCACCACTTGCTCTCACCTCCTCTGCCAGCGCCTGAATATACCGAAACCTTCCACAAGCCGAATTTAAAGAAGTTTGTGAAAGGGTCTGAGGACTGATAGGCAGGGGCTATGAGATTAACTAAATTCTCATTATGAATTCTTACACCATGTGGTGTCATCTCCCCACCACCTGCAGCCGTGGCTACTACCCAGCCGCCTCCTGCAGCAGCTTTTCGGGACCTGCTGCCCTTTGGGAATCGCTCCTGGCCGCGCAGGGCTCTGGGGAGGCCTCTCCATGTCCGCACCTCCGCCCGCACGGCGCTGCCGGAGCGCGGAGCGGCTCCCGCCGTCCGCCCGCACCTGGGGACAGCTGCGCCCAGCCTCCCTCCCGAAACACCAGCGGAATCCACCCAGGGACCTGGCAGAAACACCACTGCGGACACTCGCAGAGCTGCACAAGCACCCTGGCTCGCTGCGAGGGCTGCTTTTCCTCTACCACGCCGACGGCCCGGGGAGCCCGGCGCGCAGCCCGACCCGCAGAGCCGCGGCCGCAGGGACGGCCCCTGCCCACCCGGCCCCGCTCCCGCGGAGAGCGCCCATCGTCCCGGCCCGCCGGCCGCTCCCCGCCGCGGAGCCCCCGGGCTGCCCCCCGCGGAAAGCCCGGGATGCCCGCCCCACACCTGCCGCGCTCCCGCGCCCCCGGCCCTACCTGGCCGGCGCAGCGGGCAGACATGCTGGCGGCGCTGGCCGAGGCGGCTCCCCCGCTGCCCCCGCATGCAGGAGCGCGCAGGGTTGGGATGTCCTGGGATGGGCAGGGCAGGGCGGAGCGGCACCGCCTCTGCCCCGCTGCCGGCCCCGCCAGCCGGCTTCCGCTGTCGTCAGCCGCGTGTGCGCTGCGCTGCCGCGCTCCCCGGGGCGGCAGCAGCCGCGGGGCGCTGGGTGCATCCTCGGCAGGCTGTCCTGCTCGCAAGGACGCTGCCGAGACCACCTGCCTGCTAATATACTTACTAAAACACCTGGTTTTGAGTCGCTGGGATTTAATAAAGTCAGTCAATAGGGCATTTAAACGTGGATGTTAAGAGGCCGGGCATCAAATTGAAGTTTAACGCGGTAGTGCACCAACCCCGGTGCAAGCTGCTTTGGCGCATCGCACGGCCGGCACACACGCCCGTTCCTGCGTGGAAATCCATGTTTGTTCCAAGGACAGCTGCAAGGCCGTGCTTTCCTAGCAGGAGCTGAGACCTTTTCTGGATGTTTCCAAAATACTTTCTCCAGCCTCAGTCGCTAAGAATCATGGGCAGTACTAGGCAGTAGCCAAGGGTTTCTCAGCTTCCCGTGTGATGACAGGAACTGCAAATCCAAATTCGGATACGACAGGCGTAATCATATCGGATGAATGTGTCTTTACAAACACAATGCTTGTAGATAAAGCCAGAGGTTGATAGATAAGGAAATAACGAGAGAACCCATTAACTTTAGAAAGCATTGCTAATTGATGCAGGCAGCTGCTCAGCCAAGGTTGTGCTAAACTGGACTTTGTGAAGAACAAAGATTTGATAGAGTCTTCTCTGCCTATTATCTTCTCTGCCTAGGGCAGACTTAAAACTAACTTTAATGATCATGTATATTCTAAAGGAGGGCTACATATTAAGGAGATGTGTTGTAGATTGTGAAAAACGCTTACCACTTGGTCTTTTAAAATTTTTAAAAGCTATTAGTAATACAATACTTACAAAAATAGTAATAAAATTAGAGTAATAAAATTTTGGACAATGAGGATTAGGACACTACGAGACAATAAAAAGCAAAGAATTATGGATGTCCAGGTGTTTTTGGGCACTACGCTGCCAAAAACATGCCTTGTGAACAAAGGCATGACCCTTAAAAATTGGCTTTTGCATATTCATATATCTTATATATGATGCATAAATTCCTTGCAAATTAAGATTTTTTCTGTTTTTTGTCAACTTCTTCCCCTTAATCCTGGTGGTTCCATAAAGACAGAGAGAAGGTGGAAGAATGTTTGTCTTTTTTGATAAGGAGGCTGTAACTCTTTTTGTGCCCTGTCGCTGTTATCTCTGTGTGAAGAGTTTCTTGATTATCTTATCCCTTTCTTGAGCTAGTAAAAAATATCTTACATCGCATAGTTTCTATTTTAACATTATGTTGTAACCTAAAACTGTATTTAACACACTACTTAAAAAGGATTAATGCAGTATTATAAAATAACCCTCCATAATACATATAGTATTCAATTTAGTATTTGTGAAGAGCCAATCATTTAATCTGCATTTTTCACATAGATGGATGGGGAAGTCTGTACTTTCACAGGACTCCTCTGTCTCCTTTGTGGACACTAACCTGTAGCGACACAAATTTTCTGCACAGATAGGAATTACTGTTGCAAAGCTATGAATAGTGGAAAATTAAGGACTCTCTGGAAAGACCCCGGTCTTGACTGCTTTGTGTCCTTCTGTGTGTGTGTGTGTGTGTGTGTGTTTGTCCATGCTGTAATATTTAATATAACTATTTTAAACTCTATTTATAGTCCTAACTGCTCTTACTTTATGAATTCAGTGCAACTAAAAGCTATTATCCTGAATAGGAATATGTATGTGTAGATAATGTAGCAACACTTACCAAGGAAACTGGGATGGATTGCAGGATGCAAAACCCCTTCCTCTTTCCACATGTATGCAAACAAATGGAGTTGATGATTCAGGAAGTGGATCATATGATGAATCAGTATTACATAATTTGGTGTTATACTAGGGACTGAAGAGACCAGTTACCATAGCAGTACAGTGAATAAAAACCAGATATGTACTTTGTTTTTAATGGTGCTCCAAAAACTGCATATACTGCTGCATATACAGAGACAAGGTATTTACCACTTTTACAAGATTAATTCTGTCAACCAGATGGTTATTAAACTGCAAAGGACACCAGTTTGTGGGCATCTGAGAGGACCCCAGCACAGTTCAGGCACTGATGTGGCTGATGCTTGTGCTTTGTAGCAGCAGCAAAAGTCCTAACATCGGGTGAGGACTCCTCAAGCCAGGACTGGGGCTGGAGACTCAGCACACCTTCTGTGATTTGTAGCTCCTTTCCCCAGAAGCTGCAGAGATAGACTCAAGAATTGAACGGATCAGGAAAGCAGCATGACCAGCCAACAGGCAGTGGAAAACCACTGGTGTGTTTAATTTTGAAACACAGTCAGCTTCCCAAAGAATATGGTTAAGACATGGGAACACAAGGATCACAGAATAGTAAAAACTCAGCAAAACTGCAATTGTCTTCTATTTCTGTTCCAGATTTCTTATACAATTGCAAGAAGCTGTCTGGTCAGGCTTTGCTTAATTTCCACATCTGCAAAATCAACTCAAGACATGAAAGAATCTGAGGTTTAATTTAAAAATGAAGCTGTCTTACAAAGAGAGACTGGTGAAGGTGATAGATGGGCATGGTGGAAGACTGCGAGGGGTTGTACCCCATCAGCATGTCTGTGATACCAACAAGCATTCACTGCATGGGGAGCACCATTAAATCACTGCTCTGTGCAGATCTGTTAATGTCAGCCAGTGCTGTTAATGAACAAACCCAGCCTCTGCACTGAAGAAAACAGCAAAGCTCTGTAATGGCTTTCCAATTAGTCAGAGCACCCTAGAGCTCTGGAATGTGTGCCTCGGCTTTTTCAGTAAAAATTCATCACCAGAAAGGCTTGAACTTCCCTGCTGTGTTGCTGGCAAACATTATGCAGACTAATAGCAAAGCAGTGTGTGGATATTACTACATGGAAAGAACTGTCACTCTCAAACTATCAGTGCATTTAGAATAAGGTTTATCTATCAAATACACATTCTAAAATCAGAGAAGGCTGATCTGATTTACTGGGCAGAAATTTCAAAGGAGGCAGTTTATGGGTCATGAAACACACAACTTTACCAACTCTAATAATAATACTCTCTCTCCTAGACATGTCCAGAAGAGATATTTTTTAAAATTTATTGTAATGGAAGCATTTCTGGTAGCAGAATTAGACAATAGTCTTCTGAATTTAGTCATCACATTTGACCAGGTGTCTATGTAAGAAAAATATCACTTAGAGCTCTTTTCCATCAACTATGACTGAAGAGTGCATGAGTAGAGACTGATTTGAGAGGAAGGGCATAAAGCATGAAAGGATTGGGTTTTCTTGAAAGATAAGAAGGAAAAAAAAAAGTCTCTGGAATTACAATACAAAGCTAAGTTTATTACAGAGCTAAATGAAATGTTTCCAAAATTACCTTGCACCCAAGGAAAAGAAAGCAAATTAACATCTTAATTTAAATATGGATTATGCCCCTTCCCCAAGACCTTAGTCTTGCCTTTAATTGTGGGCCCTGTTTATATTAGAATGCCAGGTGCTGCCTGATATGGAAAAGACAGGGTTCTCTTACCTGTGTGATCTAATTTTCATCAGTATTGAACAGAATTGGAATTTATTGCAGGCTGCTGGTATGCTGCTGCAACTCAGGCAGAAGTGGCACAGCTTGTTTCTGCGTCGTATGCGAGCTCCTTCTAAGCTGTGGTCTGAGGTTGATGAAACAACTGTAAGAGCAATTACAGCTGTTCTGAGTGCTGAAGAACAGTCGGCAGGTCTACAGCAGCCTTCAGGAATTGGCCAGAGACCAAGGCCTGTGACTTGTGAAGAACTTCCTTTGGCATCTACATGCATGTCAACCAACAGCAGAAACAGCTCAACAGAAACAGAATTGTCTGACTTCTCTCATGCTGAAAAGTAAGATGCTGAGGTCTTCTGCTCACTGTAGGTTGCAGTTTATGTATACAAGTATCACTTAAGTTTCTGCTAGTAATAGGAGGTGGAAACAGCGGAAGTACAGTTGGAAGGTGTTATACTGTTGTATGCTGCATTGTGGTCCCAAAGAGAAGTATTTCATACCTGGGGCTGCTGTTGGAGAGAGCAGTCAGGAATATTGTCCATGAATTGTGATGTTTGAGAAGTAGCAGAAGAAGTTGAACAGTAGCATTAAAAAGCAATGAATGGTCAGTATGAGTTTTTAGTTAGGCTTTAATAGATTTTGTAGTTGCTGTAATACATGTGGTCATGCAGTAGGTTGGCAGGTCGATGTACGTTGTTCAGTGACTGCTTGTGAAACTCAAAGTATGTCCTTTGTAGGGTTTCAGTGAAATCTACTTCTCCTGCACTCCACCAGCCAAAGAAGTACAAAGAAAAAGACATTTTGCTCTCCAGACAATCCTCAGATGACAGATCAGCTCAGTCCTCAGTGAAGCCTGCAGACAGCAGTAGCTATTCCAACCCCTGTGCTACTCCTTCTTCTCCAGTGTCGGCAAAGGTAGAGTTCTCTAACATATCACCCTGCTCTTCCAAAGTAACAGAATTTCTTGCTGATATCATTCTGCAGTTAGGTATTTTACTGATAAATTAGGAAGCTAACGTAGCTTTTCATTTGTAACACTGCATAATACTTCCTTCTGGAACTTAAAAATCTAGACTAAATATCCTTGTTTCACTAGTTTAATACAGCAAAAATAATTTGTAGACTGCTGAGGTAAAGCTATCCAAAGTAGAAAACATGAGATTAAAAAAAACCCCAAACTTGTTCTAATAAACATGTATTAGTTTTTTTCAACTAAATGAGTATATTATATACACACTTCTGAAGTTTTTGGATTCTGCCTTTCTCGGCTTCCATAATAGATTTTCAATATCAATACTGATTCTGTCTTATCTACCTTACTATGACTGATTTTTGTGATGGTTATTTTAACAAAGTACACATTTTTAATGAGATTACTGTGACAGTTGTCCCATATACTTGAATAGTAGACTGCAGTAACACTAAGGAGATCATTGAGAGGAAACTTCATGGACTCATTGGAGGATGTAATAATTCCTCTGGAATTTTTCAGCTTTTAAATTAAGACAGCGTAAAAGGAAGAAAACATGTTTCCTGAATATAGAAATGCGAGTAGTGTGCTGTAGGCTACACTCTAGGATGCTTAATTTTGGTGTCATCTCAAGGTCTGTCAGACTTTAACCAATTCTAATTAATCACTAGACTTTTTAATCCTATTCTGCTCTACTTGTTTCTTGCCCCTCATGGATGAATTACTGTGGAAGGGGCTAACAGCAGGCCTGTTAGCTAAAGGAGCGAAAAGAAGCTGAGAGCAAGAAGAAGCTGTTAAAGAGCTCTCTCCAAGGCTGCTACCAAGGAGACTGAGAGAAGAGAAGAACTGAAGAAAGATAAGGAGAGCACTGCAGACGGACAAAGTATTTTTAGAAAGTTAACTAAAGTCACTGTTACTGTTCACCAGTGGTGTTATGTTGATTTTTTGTGGCCAATAGTTGGGGTAGAAGAAGTATAAACAATTAGAAAGTTTATAAAAGGTCAGCCATGTTCGATAATAAAGAATTGCCATCTGAGACCGCCTGTGGTCTGTGCTTTGTGTCGCGACCGCCTCGGGATACAGTGTATATACCAGTGACAGCTGGTGCCCACCGCGTGGAGCAACAGCCTGAACAGCGTGGTCAGTCTGGAGCCACGCGGGGTCCCAGCTCCCAGCCGTGACCCACTGGGGAGCAGCGGGGGAGGCGGCGCTGGTGCGGCTGAGAGGGGCGTGTGGAAGCCACAGGGAGGTCCAGACTTGATTTTCTCCTATCAGGACACCTGGAAGCAGGGGAGGCACCAACTAGTAATAATGGGAAATAAATCTAAAGAGGAAGAGATTGTTTTGGCTACATGGAAAGCTTTGGTAAGAAATAAGGGAATTAATACTTCAGACTATGCCCTTCGTAGTATATTGCTGTGGGCTAGATCTGTGGTAAGATAGGGACAGGCGGAGCGGAAGATTACCGGAATGTCACGGAAAAGATAGGCCCCTTCCCCCCTTCTCTCTCCCCTGCTTATCTGCTACCCCAGAAGTCAGAAAGGAATGTAGTCACACCTGCCCTGGTAAAGTTCTACTACCCACTATCCTCCGAGACCCCAAACCCCCCTCTGACGTAGCAAAGACCCCTAAACCTATTTAAACCCATGAGATAAGATAATAAACGCTTTCGACCGTCCACCAAATTGGTGCCAGCGTGTGTCGTTAGTCCGAGTAGCCCGGGCGAAGCCGGGCTGCCGTGCTGTCTTCTTGTAACCAGGTCGCCGTTGTCTTTTATAAAAGCAACATCTGGTGCCGAAACCCGGGACAAAATTTGCCCGGTGGACGGGTTTCACCTGGACAGAAGCAGCGGCCAGGACGGTGGAACCGTACCCAGGCGTAGGGGAGACGTCCCCGGACCCGCGAGCGTCATGGACAGCGTCGCCTGGGTCGTAAGTATGAGGCAATGGAATATCGCGTTTAAGCTCAGGGACTTTTATCTTGCCATAGCAAGGCTGCCTGAGCTTGGAGCAGCCGAATGCTCAGTGGATGCCATGCATCCGGGAATATGGGAACAGTATACAGCCACGCTAGCCGAAGAAGCAAAATCCTCAGGCAAAAGCGTTACGGCACGGAGCAAAGTAAAAGAAACCCCGCGCAAAGCAATAGAAAAACAAAAGACGCAGAATGCAGCGCGCACGTGTTT